AGAAGAGAGAGAGAGAGAGAGTGAGATAGAAATGAGAGAGAGAGAGAGAGTGAGATAGAAAGAGAGGAGAGAGAGAGTGAGAATAGAAAGAGAGAGAGAGAGAGAGTGAGATAGAGAAGAGAGAGAGAGAGAGTGAGATAGAAAAGAGAGAGAAGAGAGTGAGATAGAAAGGAGAGAGAGAGAGTGAGATAGAAAGAGAGAGAGAGAGAGAGTGAGGATAGAAAGAGAGAAGAGAGAGAGAGTGAGATAGAAAGAGAGAGAGAGAGAGAGTGAAGATAGAGAGAGAGATAGAGAGAGAGAGAGAGAGTGAAGATTAGAAAGAGAGAGAGAGGAGAGTTGAGATAGAAAGAGAGAGGAGAGAGAGTGAGATAGAAAGAGAGAGAGAGAGAGTGAGAAAGAAAGAGAGAGAGAGGAGAGTGAGAAGAAAGAGAGAGAGAGAGAGTGAGACAGATAAGAGAGAGAGAGAGAGAGTGAGATAGAAAGAGAGAGAGAGAGAGTGAGATAGAAAAGAGAGAGAGAGAGAGTGAGATAGAAAGAGAGAGAGAGAGAGAGTGAGATAGAAAGAGAGGAGAGAGAGAAGAGTGAGATAGAAAGAGAGAGAGAGAGAGTGAGATTAGAAAGAGAGAGAGAGAGAGTGAGATAGAAAGAGAGAGAGAGGAGAAGTGAGATAGAAAGAGAGAGAGAAGAGAGAGTGAGATAGAAGAGAGAGAGAGAGAGTGAGATAGAAAGAGAGAGAGAGAGAGTGAGATGAGAAAGAGAGAGGTGAGATAGAAAGAGAGAGAGAGAGAGTGAGATAGAAAGAGAGAGAGAGAGAGAGATAGAAAGAGAGAGAGAGAGAGTGAGATAGAAAGAGAAGAGAGAGAGAGTGAGATAGAAAGAGAGAGAGAGAGAGTGAGATAGAAAGAGAGAGAGAGAGAGAGGAGATAGAAAGAGAGAGAGAGAGAGTGAGATAGAAAGAGAGAGAGAGAGAGTGAGATAGAAAGAGAGAGAAGAGAGAAGTGAGAATAGAAAGAAGAGAGAGAGAGAGTGAGGATAGAAAGAGAGAGAGAGAGAGTGAGATTAGAAAGAGAGAAGAGAGGAGAGTGAGATAGAAAGAGAGAGAGAGAGAGAGTGGAGATAGAAAAAGAGAGAGAGAGAGAGTGAGATAGAAAGAGAGAGAGAGAGAGTGAGATAGAAAGAGAGAGAGAGAGAGTGAGATAGAAAGAGAGAGAGAGAGAGAGTGAGATAGAAAGAAGAGGAGAGAAGAGAGTGAGATAGAAAAGAGAGAGAAGAGTGAGATAGAAAGAGAGAGAGAGAGAGAGAGAGTGAGATAGAAAGAGAGAGAGAGGAGTGAGATAGAAGGAGAGAGAGAGAGTGAGATAGAAAGAGAGAGAGAGAAGTGAGAATAGAAAGAGAGAGAGAGAGAGAGAGAGAGTGAGATAGAAAGAGAGAGAGAGAGAGAGAGAGAGAGTGAGATAGAAAGAGAGAGAGAGAGAGAGAGAGTGAGATAGAAAGAGAGAGAGAGAGAGAGAGTGAGATAGAAAGAGAGAGAAGAGAGAGTGAGATAGAAAGAGAGAGAGAGAGAGAGAGAGTGAGATAGAAAGAGGAGAGAGAGAGAGAGAGAGTGAGATAGAAAGAGAGAGAGAGAGAGAGAGATGAGATAGAAGAAAGAGAGAGAGAGAGAGAGAGAGTAAGATAGAAAGAGAGAGAGAGAGAGAGAGAGAGAGAGTGAGATAGAAAGAGAGAGAAGAGAGAGAGAGAGAGTGAGATAGAAAGAGAGAGAGAAGAGAGTGAGATAGAAAGAGAGAGAGAGAGAGTGAGATAGAAAGAAGAGAGAGAGAGAGTGAGATAGAAAAGAGAAGAGAGAAGAGTGAGATAGAAAGAGAGAGAGAGAGAGTGAGATAGAAAGAGAGAGAGAGAGAGTGAGATAGAAAGAGAGAGGAGAGAAGAGTGAGAAGAAAGAGAGAGAGAGAAGTGAGATAGAAAGAGAGGAGAGAGAGAGTGAGATAGAAAGAGAGAGAGAGAGAGTGAGATAGAAAGAGAGAGAGAGAGAGTGAGATAGAAAGAGAAGAGAGAGAGAGTGAGATAGAAAGAGAGAGAGAGAGAGTGAGATAGAAAGAGAGAGAGAGAGAGTGAGATAGAAAGAGAGAGAGAGAGTGAGATAGAAAGAGAGAGAGAGAGTGAAGATAGAAAGAGAGAGAGAGAGTGAGATAGAAAGAGAGAGAGAGAGAGTGAGATAGAAAGAGAGAGAGAGAGAGTGAGATAGAAAGAGAGAGAGAGAGAGTGAGATAGAAAGAGAGAGAGAGAGAGTGAGATAGAAAGAGAGAGAGAGAGAGTGAGATAGAAAGAGAGAGAGAGAGAGTGAGATAGAAAGAGAGAGAGAGAGAGTGAGATAGAAAGAGAGAGAGAGAGAGAGTGAGATAGAAAGAGAGAGAGAAGAGTGAGATAGAAGAGAGAGAGAGAGTGAGATAGAAAGAGAGAGAGAGTGAGATAGAAAGAGAGAGAAGAGTGAGATAGAAAGAGAGAGGAGAGTGAGATAGAAAGAGAGAGAGAGTGAGATAGAAAGAGAGAGAGAGTGAGATAGAAAGAGAGAGAGAGTGAGATAGAAAGAGAGAGAGAGTGAGATAGAAAGAGAGAGAGAGTGAGATAGAAAGAGAGAGAGAGTGAGATAGAAAGAGAGAGAGAGTGAGATAGAAAGAGAGAGAGTGAGATAGAAAGAGAGAGAGTGAGATAGAAAGAGAGAGAGAGTGAGATAGAAGAGAGAGAGAGTGAGATAGAAAGAGAGAGAGAGTGAGATAGAAAGAGAGAGAGAGAGTGAGATAGAAAGAGAGAGAGAGTGAGATAGAAAGAGAGAGAGAGTGAGATAGAAAGAGAGAGAGTGAGATAGAAAGAGAGAGAGTGAGATAGAAAGAATTTTACTATACTGGGATATTACAAATTACCAGATTGGAGTGTTAAATTTCTGTATGGCATTATTAACTTTATACTATATTCTAATTTATGCAATTTGCTCAAAAACATCCATTTATATTACATTCTTAGCTACATAGCATATATTTTGGCTTTACATAACTGCAAAACTACCCTCAATTACTACTTATAATGACCAGCTCTTAACGTGTTTCCGACCCAGCTGTTTAGGGTTCACGGCCCAGGTGATTTTTGCTTTCTTGGTTGTAAGAAATGGAACTGCGTTTGTGTCCCACGTGTGATTGTGGTTTGGGGGATTTCTTAATTCACAAATACAATCATGATACAGAAGGATTAATTACACTGTGTCAAGGGGACAATTTAATTTTGAAAAATTTCCAGTTTGAAAAGTGTCATGGTGAATGCCGATTAGACGTAAAGCAAACTTCACGACTTCCTCCTTGCCGCTGCTCGGCTATACCCTCCACAGTAAGGTAACTGCTTATGCTCATGATTAGGGTGATAGGTTAGGTAAAGAGGAGGTCCGGGGGCTGAGCCCCCAGTAGGGAAATATGACAATTAGGAGGGGGTCCGGGGGCAGAGCCCCGCGGGTTGGGAAGTTCTTGTTTCCTAACAGCGATCTTTAAATGAAAGATTGTGCATTTAGGCCAGGTTTGCTATTTGTTTGTTTGTGCAACGCAGTGGCAAATCTTCATGGCTGAATCTTGGATCGGGTTTATTATTTTTACACTTACTTTCCTGTGTAAAATGCGATTCGTGGCTCGGTACCTTCTTAAAATCCACCCTGATGTGAGTGAATCGACCATACACCTCCCCTAAAACCCTTGATTCCCCTTGGGATACCCCAAGATTATTGACTGGAGTTGGAGTCTGCAAACTTCATTATCTTGAACTATTTTAAAGTAAAAACTGAATGTCATGGAAACTTTCCAGACAGTGCTATAAATCCCAAGCATAACTATATCGAGATACATAGCCATTTAATTTCCCTATTCTTAAATTTTGGGTCGGCAATGTGTATCCATCACTTTCATAAAGCTGGTGAATGAGGTTAAGTTACAAGAGAGAGAGAGAGAGAGAGAGAGAGAGAGAGAGAAGAGAGAGAGAGAGAGAGA